ATTCATATCTTATGTCATAACATCTAAGGATATAAAGTGATTAATGTTCCAGAAAAGTACAAGAAATTTTAATCATCAGAAAAAATAGAAGTAATTCTTTATGTTGTCTGATGCTTTTTAGTATACACACAACATGAGTGTATTCACAGTTGTTGAAAATATTCTGCATCTGTGAATATAACTAAGTTAATGTTGTATTTCCTAACTCACAAGAAAAATGAGTGGAATATTTGACAGCAATATTTTCACTTTAAAATGTGGAGGGGTTTTTGTTGTTTTAATGTGAGTTTATTTTGGTTTGTTTTTTTTAGTGTGAGAGGAAAATTCTCAACTTACACGTAGTTTGACAAGGAAGTTAATACCAACTGTTTATTGAAACTGTGTAATTGCGTGTGTAGAAAGTTCTTTCAAAAGCAGAAATGAAGTAAAATGCAATTGTAGTATATTTACATCCCTCAGAATGTCTGCTGTTGCATTTCCAACGCAGCCGTGCAGGTTAGAGTAAGAGAGAAAAAAAGATTGCAGCACTTCAGAAGGCACCATGAGCTCTGGAATCTAACTTTCCAAAAACTGCAGTGCTTGTGGACTTTGAGTAGGCATGTATGTGATTAAGACCTCAAGAAATATCACTGCTGTGCTGTCTCAGCATGGCAGCTGGCGGCTCACTAAAGAGAGAGGGTTGGCAGCCCCAGCTGCGCAGTCCAGCGTTCTCACAGCAACCCGGGCATCTGTAACCACCGCCTGGCATCGAGGGAAACTCCTCTGGAGACACTTGGGTGTAACGGTTTCCTAGACGGGAGCTGGGTTAACCATCTGGAATGAGGTGCGCGGGCTTTTCTAATGGTGTTCCTGATATCCTAAATAAATATCCCTTTTGTGTATGCCAGATTTTTCAAAAGTATCCGCATCGAAGATTTCATATTATTTTGATTATATAACTGCATTCCATCTCTCACCATCTTAGTGAAATCCCTCTCCCCAAAGTCCTGTGTTTTGTTCTGTAGTAGCACAGGTTTGTGCTTGTGACTGGAAGGCCCCAAAATGGTTTTGCGTCACTGTTTATAAAATAGTACAACACTGGTATATATGTAAAATACATAAAGAAAAGATGAGGCCTATAGGTTTTGTCCCCTTTTTGCAATGATATCAAAGGTTATTTGCATGGTAATGTGAAAATGACACGACAGCACTATATCAACCATGTTCTCTCTGTTGTCTCTCTATTAGTGTTTTTTTCGCACAGATTACGAATTGATTATCTTCATATCTCATGTACTTAAGAGTTTAGTCCCTACAATTATATTTAGCTCCTGAGCATCTTTGTTTATGTGGATTAATTTATGAAATAGTCATAGTTTCTTGTAGGAGTTCTTTAGCTTTAAATATAGAAGAAAACTAATAAAATAAGCAAACCCCAACACCTAATATGTTATGATTTTATTCTGATTTCACAGTTTAATTTCCTACTTATATTACTGTAGGATAAAGAATGTCTTTTTTCTCCTAAACTTTATCTTGTTCATTTTTACAGTTCCTTGATCAGGTATCAAACTGATTTTTTATCCTTAATAGAAAAGGATCAATCCTACAAAATATACCAGCAATACCTTAGGAGCTATAAATATACTTCATAAACCACATGGTTTTATTTGGTTATTAGTAATTTCTGCTTTGTTGAAAAGAAGAATAAGCTTTCAAAATACTGGAAGCTGAAAGGGTAATTCATGACTGGCAGGGCCCAAGAATAGGTGTTCAGTAGTATCTTGTACAGTATTATATGAGTGATGGCTTTCTCGTACTCATGGTTGTAAGCTAAAATGCTGTAAATACTCTAAGGAGTTTCTTAAACTTTAATTGTTGTGATGATATTTCATATTACATTGGTTTCATTTTAAAGATGTATAATAAATATGGCCTGATTCTGCCATCATTGACTGATGTTTACAATTAAGAAACTTTTAAAATTAATTCTGATGTATACTAATATATTTAAAATCAGAATTAAACATGAGGCATACCAAAGAATTCGATAGCTGTACACATTCTCAGTCTCTAAGTTAGGCCCTTCTAACAATACTGCTGTATTGTATGACATTTGTGGTTAAGTGAGAGCAGGATTTTTACAGTCCAAATTTAGGATTTTTGAATACATGAAGTATTTGAATATATCTCAGCTGACTGCATATGTATTTTTAAAATCTGTCACTATTAGCATTTTACTTATGATAATTATGAAAAGGGCAAGTCATTGCATCTCAGCTTCGTTTTTTGTTTTTTTTTTCCACTTTTGCCTTTCCAGAGATCTAAATCAGTCATCTGTCTTTCCTCAGTAATAAAAATGTCATTCCAGTCTGAACCTCTTCTCCAAAGCACCGAGTAATAGTAATAGGATTTATTATTTTCATTAACTAGTGCAACTGTGCTAAAGTAGTTGCAATCTGTGGTGTATCGAGTGATTTGGGATCTTAATCCAACAATACTGAACCTCTGAGTTGGAGATACTTGGATATTTTTTAATGGATTGGGGGGGGGGAGTACTGATGTAATCAAAACATATAATATAGTTGTACTTGTTTCAAAAGACCTTAGTTTGAAAGGTGTCCAGGTGTTGGATGGGATTTTTGCTTAGGAAGTCAGAATTACCCCAGCAGAAATAGCAAAGAGCTTACTGGTAATGGTGCTGCCTGTGATGGAGGAGAGCTGGGCTCCTGTCCTCCTCTGCCTTAGCCAGAGCTGCTGCTGGGAGAGGTCCCAGGTCCTCAGGCTGTTTGTTCGTTGTTACAAGGTTCATCTCTCTATCCACTCTATACAGATCATATCGTGTGTATGAACCCTAAAAAATACAGTCTATGTCAATGCTACTAAATAAAATACATGATCCTAGACTTGTGCAAAGCATTTGACGCTGTCCTGCGTGATATCCCTGTCTGTAAATCAGAGAGACATGGATTTGACGGGTGGACCGCTTGGTGGATAATGAATTGGCTGGATGGTCGCACTCAAAGAGTTGCGGTCAATGGCTTGATGTCCAGTGATGCGTGGAATTCATCAGGGTCGGTATTGGGACCGGCACTGTTTAACATCTTTGTCAGTGACATGGACAGTGCGATCGAGTACACCCTCAGCAAGTTTGCCGATGACACCAAGCTGTGTGATGCGGTCGACATGCTGGAGGGAAGGGATGCCATCCAGAGGGACCTTGACAGGCTGGAGAGGTGGGATCGTGTGAACCTCATGAAGTTCAACAAGGCCAAGTGCAAGGTCGTACACATGGGTCAGGGCAATCCCAAGCACAAGTAAAGACTGGGAGGAGAATGGATTGAGAGCAGCCCTGAGGAGAAAGACTTGGGGGTGTTGGTGGACAAGAAGCTCAACATGAGCCAGCAATGTGCACTTGCAGCTCAGAAAGCCAACCATATCCTGGGCTGCATCAAAACCAGCGTGACCTGCAGGTGGAGGGAGATGATTCTCCCCCTCTACTCTGCTCTCATGAAACTCTACCTGGAGTACTGTGTCCAGCTCTGGGGGCCCCAACATAAGAAGGACATGGACCTGTTGGAGTGACTTCAGAGGAGGGCCACAAAGATGATCAGAGGGCTGGAGCACCTCTCCTGTGAAGACAAGCTGAGAGAGTTGGGATTGTTCAGCCTGGAGAAGAGAAGGCTCCAGGGAGACCTTGTAGCAGCCTTCCAGTACCTGAAGAGGGCCTGCAGGAAAGCTGGAGAGGGACAGTTTACAAGGGCATGTAGTGACAGGACAAAGGGTAATGGGTTTAAGCTGAAGGAGGGTTGATTTAGATTAGATGTTAGAAAGAAATTCTTTACTGTGAGAGTGGTGAGGCACTGGAACGGGTTGCCCAGAGAGGC